ACAAAGTTTGAATACATTGTTGTCCACAAAATATCCTTCCCATTTCCTTCATCCCACCTTCCCCTCAAATTGTGCAACCCTACGATTAATATCTTACCCCCCCATTCTCACCCCTCTATTTCCACTCTCCCCCCATTTTGGATCCTCATACTCATTCTACTCTAATGGTTTTATACAGTATTTGTCCTTGTGGGACCGAGTTAGTTCACTCAGTGTAATGCTCTCCAGTCCCTCCCAAGTTAGATAGTAATTTACAGAATGATTGTTCCTGCGTGCTGCATAGTATTCCATTGTATGACCATATATTTATACTCTTTTTTTGTTGTTGTTTTGGTTTTTTTAATTATACTAGTTTATTTACAAAATTTGAATACAACGTTTTCAAGAATAGATTCTTGACATTTCCATCACCACCACCCCCACACACACACCTATCAAATTGTACAACTCCATGGCATATTTGAGGTGTGTTTTTTTTTAATTAGAAAGATAAAGCCAGTTCTATTTTTTTTTCATTTTCTACTAGTTCATTTACAAGATTCGAATACAAATATATACTCTTTTGAAGAAGTATTTTTTATACATAGATATTTATGTCTTAGAAGGTTTCAATCAAGTAGTTCACCCTTAGTGTGTGCCTGGCTTCAGACTCTCTAATGATACATTGTATTTAGGGTATTGTCTGGTTTTCCAGAAACTGTTTTCTCAATGTCTGTTTCTGCCTCAGTATCCTTTTGTGCTCTGCCAAAGAGAAAACATTTTTATATAGTTAGAGGAGCTTTAATAACAGTCCATAGCGAGTTGCATTGCTAACTCAAAGGTCTTACATTTCTAATGATTAGAATCCACCAGCTGCTCCCTGGGAGAAGCTGGGCAGTTTCCTCCCATGAAGATGCACAGCCTCGGGTGCCTGATGGCAGTGAGTTTGAGGCTTTTGAAAAATACCTTTTACCAAGACTTGGAACTGGTTCATTCCAATTCATGGGAGTTCTGGTAGTTTAGCAGGTAAAGAGTTGTACAGCCAGGCCAAAGGCAAGCAGTTTGAATCCAGCAGCTGTTTTACGGGAGAATGATGGACAATCTCTTCCCGTATAATTTCATTTATAGCCTCTGGAAATTTGCTGGAGGAGGGTCAGCTATGAGTTGGTTCCCATGATTCGATGAATGAGTAGGTGAATTCCAGTTCAACCCCCTGCTGATAATTTGCATTTCTTCTTTAGATATATGGAATTAGAATCTATATTGTAATATGATCTTGAGGTGCTTCTTACTCCATATTTTTTTAACCGGTTCCCCTGTATGCTTCTTGTTTGTTGTTGTGCACAACTGAGTCAGAACCAACCCATAGCTGACCCTAATATGTGTATGTGTGTGTGTGTGTGTGTGTGTGTGTGTCTCCTTCTCGTATGGAGCAGGGTGGGTTTCAACTGTGCCTTTGGCTTGGTAGCACAGCTCCTTCCCACTAGGCCATCAGAGTTTCCTATCTGGAATGGAAATTCAAATTATCAGGGATGGACGATGGTCACATCAGAATAAAATTCACCTGGGAAGCTTGTTAAGCTGTGGAGTTGACTCATATACCTGGGGTGGAAATACCATTTCTCAGCAGGCATTGAGCTGGATTGATGGTCTAATTAAGGCTTTGCCTTAGGCAGGCATGCTGTTGCCAATTGTTTCTCAGTATTACAACGTTGGTTTTTCAGTTCTTTTAACTTTAGAAATGCCAGGGATTTCTTGCCTTTCTATTCTCAGCTCTTTACATATTCCACTAAAATAGTCTACTCTGTCTTCTTCAGATGTCCTTTGACATTTTATTCCCCCTCCCCCACTTTTTAAAATTGTGATTTTAAGGGAAGTTTACAGAAAAGTTGGATTTTCATGCATTCATGGTTGTGCATTTTCGTTCCTTCCCCTTCTCCCCTTTGAAGTCTTCTGTTTATGTCTTTTACTTCAGCATTTCATCCTTTTGCTTTGGCTTCTCAACACTCTGGTGAAATTTTCAGGGTCTCTTCTGACATCTGTATTGGTTTTCACTTTCTCCTCTTCTTTTTAGTGCCACTTTTGCTCTCCTCATGGATGTATATCTTCAATGTCTTCAATTATTAGTGTTCCGTGCCTCAAACCTCTTCTGGAAATGATTTTTAAATTCAGGTTTAGATCGATTCAAGGTTGTGTTTTGGTAACAGTGGGCCTGTTTGGTAACAGTTGAGCCTGACGGAGATGGTGAGAATGCAGGAGAAGGCAAGGTTCAGATCAGTTCACAGAGTCTCTGAGAATAAGCAAAAGCAGGGTAAACAGTGACACCCCAGTGTACACTAGTCCTTACAGGCAAGGATAGTACAACTTCATCTCACAGACTTTGGGCATGTCATCAGGACAGGCCAGTCCTTGAATTAAGACCTCAACTTGGTCTCTTCAGCTGTAAAGAGCAGGATGGAGAAAGCCAGAGCAGAGCTAGGACAGCTGTTACTGGGTATCTAGCACGATGGTTAAACATTTGGTTATTAACCAAAAGATAAAAGCCATGAGTGGTTCTTGAAGAGAAGAGCAATCTGCTTCCATAAAGGTGGTGGTGGTGGTGGTTGTTAGGTGCTGTCAAGTCAAGCACGACTCATAGTGAGCCTATGAACAAAAGCTCTGAACCCTGGTCTGTCCTGCGCCATCCTCACACTTCCTGACATTCAAGCGCCCATTGCAGCAGTCACCGTGTCAGTCCACCTGGTTGAGGGTCTTCCTCTCATTCACTGACCCAAAAGTTACAGCTTAGGGGACCCTCTGGTATAGGATCACTATGGTTTGGGATCATGCCCGCAGCACACAACAATAGTCACCTACTTGCGTAGTTGCTCTTTTCCCCTCTGGGCCTGAGCAGGAATGGCTCAGCCCATGAGACCTATGGATCCCCACTTTGTCCCAGGGCTAAGTCTGGCTAGTTCTCAGGCCCACCCCCATTCATTCAAGGGCAGATTATCCAATAAGCTCACTTTTTGCTTATTTACTAATTTATAGTGAACAGTTGCAAGATCTGGTGAAAAACACATGTAAGCTCTTTGCTGTACCTTAGTCAGTAAGCACTATCCAATAGAGGGTGAGCCTCTTGTTTACCTTGCCTATCTGGTCCTCTGTACCTGTCAGGGACTGTGAATTTGAAGAGGCGTGATTCTGTAGGAAGGAGTTGTGGGCTTTGAAGGGAAACAGATGCCTCCTATACCTAGAAGTAGAATCTGAGATGTTAGAAAATGTGAAATTGTTCCCTACAGAAGTAGGTAGATGAAGTAAATTGCTCACTCGCCTTGTTTATTAGCTAATCTGCCCTTGTGTTCAGAGGATAATGGGGTGGGTTCTGTTTCCACAGACATGGCTGTACAGAACTTCGTGGGAGATGCCTTCCGAGGAGCCACCTGGGTGGCACTTCACAACGGAGGGGGCGTGGGCTGGTAAGGCAGTCTAGGGAACGAGTGTGTGTGAACAAGTGTGTATAAATCCAGCTGGGCAGAGGAGGGCTGGGATCGGGCAGCTCCAGTCCTGGACCTACTAGCCCCACTACCCAGCCTTTACCACTCTGTGGATGGCTTTGCTGTACATTTGTTCTTCATGAGCTGCTTTCTGGCTGCTTGATGCAGCTGGGGCACTGCAGCCTTCTGATAGAGGATGTTCCCACGCTTAGGCCTGTGACTGTCTCTCAAGTGACCTCTGATCATGTTTTGGCTAGATCATGCAGTCCCTTGGCCTCAAAGGTAATAAGTCTCTTAGCAGCCAAGCTTCCCAGGGCATCCACATGAGCTGGCTCAGAATTCAGGGCTACAGCCCTGTAAGGGGGCTTAGATTGGCAGAAAATATGACACACACATGTGTTCCTTCCTATGAGCAGGATGGAGAAAGCCAGAGCAGAGCTAGGACAGCTGTTACTGGGTATCTGGTACCCCTGACCTTGATTAAAAGATAAGAGAGTGGGATTCTAAGGCTATTAAAGTAACTGGCTCTGCAGCCATGAGGCTGACCACATGGTGGAGCCTCAGCCTGCCACCAGGTCCTCTCTGAGGCGGTACCACCCCAGTGCTTAGGGTCACAGAGGGCAAGAAGGAGCAGAAGAGAGCCAGCTGGAGAGGACCTTAGGACCTGGGGCAGCAAAACAGTGCTATTCAGTCAAGGGATCCCTAAGAGAGCTCCCACCGTCTCTCCAGGACTGCACACTGAAAATTCCCAAGCTGTGGCCACTCCCAGAGCTGCCTCCTTCTCTCTGGCTTTGTGGAGAGGGACACAGGCTGGAGAGGTCTCAGAACCAGCATCCTTACTCAGACTTTCTTGCGAGCCCTTGGGCAATGCTTCAAATTCACTCTGCCTTTCGTTAAACTCCTGTGTATATAATGCATCAGATACACACTTCTAATAGGCTGATTTTAAAAAACAGCAAGGGAGAAAAATTACATCTATCCCCAACCATTCCCACAGTAAGTTAAGCATTGGGCAGCCAACCAGAAGCTTATGACTTTGAACCCACCAGCTTTTCCAAGGGAGAAAGATAATATGGCTGCTACGTCTGTTAAGATTTACAGCCTCAGAAACCTGATGAAGAGTTACCCTGGTTGGAATCAATCCAACAGTCGTAGGTTGTGGTTGCTTAGGAAGTTCTGGTGGCCTAGTGGTAAGAAGCTGTGCTGCCATCCCAAAGGCACTAGGTTCAAACCCATCAGCTGCTGTGTGGGAGAAGGATGAGCAATCTCCCATGTGATTTTCTACGGAACACAACAACTCTTAATCAAACCCCTTTCAATACTTTAACTGCTTTTTTCCTTTGTAATACTTAAATCCATGTCTCTAAATTACATTTATTGGGGGTTTTCTTCTCCTGTTCCATTAATCAATTTACTAACTGCTTGTGTTGGTATTCTTATTTTTTCAAGACCAGCAATTGTAGCTGTTTAATTGTTTTCTGCTGCCTTGGTCTCCTCAGAGCCTCTCTTTCTGATGTCTTGTTTTGCTCTCTGTCTTTGTCTTTGGCTGTCTGTCCACCAGCCCCTGCTGTCTTATTTAGAGGGGTTCAGGGGTACCACTCAGCTGGCTGGGGCTCTGTGTACTCAGTGGAACCTGTGGATTAGGGGCTGGCTGGCTGCAGAGAAGGGGTCTTTGCACTGAGATCCAAAGGCCCCGAGTCAGCATAGTAGGGCTCAGCTTCCGGTGTCCTGTGGGCTTGGCAGAGGCAGTCTCCTGGCACCTTGACACGAGCCAGGGCACCTGGGGCTCACTGTGTGTTACACTTACCCAGCATCTAGCTCACACTCTCTCTCACTTCCAGAGGTATTTGTGCCACCAGGTGCTGAGGTATTCCAGGGCCTGGGGGAACAGGATACTAATAGGGGTTTATCTTAGGTCCTAGGCCTCCATTCAACTTAGTGACTTCCAAGGAAGAGGTTAGAGACCTGGAGGCTTCAGGAAGGAGAGGGTGCCACAGGCCCTGATGGATGAGTACCGCAGGGCAAACACACCCACATAGTAAAATATCAACCACTCTCACTGCCATCAAGCTGGAACCAATTCATAGCTCACACTCCACTGGGTTTCTCAGGCTGTAAATCACTCAGGAAGAGAGTGTCCTATTATTTTTTCTTAATACAATCACTTTTAGGGAGCTCTGGTGGCCTAGTGGCAAGAAGCTGCACTGCAATCCCAGAGATAGACGATTCGAATCCACCAGATGCTCTACTGAAGAAGAAGGGCAATGTCCTCCTGTACCAGTCAGATCCAGTTTGACGGTACACACACAAAAATTAATAAAATCATAAATTAAATTAAAGTTAAAAAAACAATCCCTTTTAAACATTGTGATTTTAACTAAAGTTTACAGAAAAGTTGGATTAGTTGTACATTTCCCTTCCTACCCCACCCCCAGTTAACTTTAAAAATTAAAAAAAAAAACATTATTGCATAATTTCCTCCAGATTGTCATATTTAAATAAGACGCAAAGTACATCTGTTAAGATCTGAGTGAGCAAATCAATTCAGTGTTAAAAAAACAAACCAACCATATTCAGAGAAATTCACTAATTAGAAAATAGGAAAGTAAAGTAATTTACCCTCCAAACCACTAGCAAAACTACAAAATGAGCCTAGGAAAAGTGAAAAAGGACAGAGGAAGATAAAAATAAAAGTAGAAATAATGATAGTGGTATTCATTAGTCCAAGATATTCCCCAGAAAAGTACACTTTCAAGAGGAAGGATATTTCTAGCTAAGCAGTTGGTGAACTCAGAAGAGGAGATGTCACGCTCAGAAGGTTAAGACAGGCTTCACATATATGGTGAAGGGGGCATAATGTAAAGCCCGAGGCACAAACAGGCAAAGAACGGAAGATATGGCAGCCCCTGTGGGTCCCCAGCTTGCCAGGAATCACCCATCTCCCATCAGAAACAGTGTGTGGAGAGAGTGCCAGGCTGCTGACGAGACGGACACTCTTTACCCCAACCCGGGCCGACTCCTCAGCTGTGTGTCTTCTGCTCCTCTTGCAGGGGTGAGGTGATCAACGGGGGTTTTGGCCTCGTGCTAGATGGAACTGAGGAGGCTGAGCAGCGAGCCAAGGCGATGCTCAGCTGGGATGTCTCCAATGGGGTGAGTTACCTCCACTGCATCTCGCTGCATCTCTCTGCCTCAGACTGCAAATCCAACACAAAGCTCTGCCCCTTCCCACTTACCCAAGTCTCTTCCCTCCAGTTCCTCACTGCCAGGGCCATCCTCCTCTTCAAATCACTCCCTTTTCATCTCCCAGCTTCTGGCCTGACCCTCCAGGCCGTCCATCATCCACACAGCCTGGCCCCTGGCCGTCCTGCCCCTCCCACCCACCACTGTATGGAGAGCTCCATGGCAAAAAGTTTGCTTCCCACCCTCTCTGAAGGTCTTGTTGTACTTGGATGTGCTGTAGTTCATCTTTGCCATAATGCAGAATCCTCTCTTTGGGCATAAGAAGGATTCATGCCTCACTGTGACCACATGATGCACCATGCCACAAATAGGAGGCAGGTGGTAGATGCCAACAAAATAGGGATGAGGGGGCTCAGAGATCCAAATAAGTGCGGGTTTGTGGGCTTGAGATGAGCTTGCTGTCTGAGGACTGAAGGGCCAGCCAGGGTAGGACCTAGTGGGTGAGCAGAACTGTGAGAAGTGTTTAAGTAACTGCCCAACCAGGTAGCTCAGGACTTCACATGTGTGAGAGTGGAGGAGGCCTCAGCTGAGTTTTTCCTCTAGGATGTCCCTGGCTGTGGGATCTCTGAGCTGGGAGTTGGGGCAGGTGAAAAAGATTGCTAGCCCTACCAATATCTCCAGAGTGTATGGAGGCCGAATGGGTGAGGGAGGAGCTATGCAGGCTGGACAAGAATCAGAGCAGAGAGGTCTGGGGATGAGATAGGCTGTGGCCATCTTCCAGGGGAGAGATGGTGATGGCTGGACCCTGTTGAGGGTGACAGAAGGTGACTGGAGGCAGATTTTGAAGGCAGAACCAATATGTGAAGTGCATTCTGTGGGGATGAGGAAGAGTGTGGATGATGACTCACTGGTTGGGCCTGGTGACCTAATGTCAGTCTTGCAGGAAGGGATAGTGGGGGAATTTGGGCTGAGTGATCTGAAATGAAGTTAAAAACCGACAAGAAGCCATCTGAGCTGAGTGTTGGAGGGTCCTGGAAGTGGAGGAGGGCAGAGAGCTTAGAGTCCAGCCATCCAGGGTGTCTTGCTGGGAAGTGCTGCTGACACCAACAGCTATATTGTTCTCTCTCTCTCCCCCACCATGGCCTGCTGTCAGGTGGCCCGGCGCTGCTGGTCTGGAAACCAGAAGGCTTATGAGATCATCTGCCAGACGATGCAGGAGAACAAAGGCCTGGTGGTGACACTCCCACACAAGGTGGTGGATGATGGCCTGCTCCAGAAGGCGCTGCAGCCCTGAGCAGCCTGCAAGCTGGCTCAGACCCCTTCTGTCGCCACACCCTTGGTCCCAGGCTTTACCACACAGCCACACCGCCCTTCCTTTTTCTACCACCTACTTCTCCCTGCTTCTCAGGCACCCAGGAAGCTGCAGGAGGCATGCTGTAAAGCATGCACTCGCAGCCCACGGTTGCACTTTGCCACAGGGTCTCACAGCCACCTTGGAATGCCAGCTAAGGAATCACCGGGTGAAGTCATTTGCCATGATCACATGGCCCCCACCAAGAAGTGCTGTTGGACATGCCCATCTTGCTGAGCCTGCATGCATAGGCCTCTTCTGATTTTCTTCCCACACTGTGGGGCCTCACAGTGCCTTCTGCGTCCATCTGTCTAATTTTGTGCCCGTGTATTTGTTCATCCAAGTGCTCCCCTACCTCAGTACTTCAGGTTTGGCGGACACAAATTCATGACAGCATGCTTTTGCCCTGAGGCAAATCTAGAGAATAAAATGTGTTGGAAATAATAAAATGAAATATGACACATACTCTAGTAGAGTCGGCATTAAAGGTGGTGAGGTAGAGGGTGTGGGATGAGGCAAACAGGTGCAATCTGAGTTCTGCCCTAAAGGTCAGTGATAATTGGGTGGGAAAGGAGAGTGGTGGGCACTCCAGGGGGGCCAGTATAATATGGAAATGAGGCAATGCAGCGTGAGTTCTTACAAAAGCATTTAGAAGTTAATTCCAAAGCCCTGTTGAGAGCCAGGCTGCCCTGTAGAAAGATCATCACCAACCCCCACATCCCTATCCTTGCACCCCCAGGGACAGGGAGCTGCAGGCTTAGACATGACAGATCATCCCCTAGGGATAAGGGAAAAGTAGAAGGAAAGCAGAACGGTAATGAAAGAAGGTGGAGAGAGGGATCTCCCGAAGACCAGAGCAGTATCTCGCTCTGGAGAAGGGCTTGTTATGTTGTGTACCATCGAGTTGGAACCAACTCATAGCTGCCCCTCCAGCAGGTTTTCAGAGGCAGTAAATCACAAGGGAGGAGATTGCCCTTCTTCTCCTGGATGTGAACAGCGTGCCTGTGGATGGCAGCGGAGCTCCTTAACACCAGGCCGCCAGAGCTCCACATCCATGTGAGCCAGAAATGGGCTAGGTGAGGATGAATTTCTGGTTACCTAACACAGGGCAAGCCAGGCTAAATCCTTTGCCTTAATTGGAGCAGAACCCTTTGGGGAGTCAAGACAAGCTCCAGATGACCGTGCCAACGTCCTGCTGAGAACAGGCCTGGGAGATGGAGATGGGCTGATGGTATCCCTGCCCTGTCTTCCTAAGAACCAATGAGATAGGCCCTTTTCCTTGGTAACTCCCTACCAATGGATGGGTAGAAAGACCAGGCCTGCTTTCTGGAATTTCAGTGTGTCAGAGTGAATTTTTCTTATCTAACTAGTATTTCTCCCAAATTAGGATTAGATTTGAGGCACAGTCCCCCACTTTCTCCAACTCTGCCTGCTAGGTAGGACCTTGGGAACTTTGGCCTCTCTGAGGATCAATGAAGTCCAGAGGGAGAAATGTTGTTGTATACTATAGAGTCAGAACTGACCCATAGCTGACCCTCCAGTGGGTTTTCAGAGGCAGTTGATCACATGGGATGAAACGGATTGCCCATCCTACTCAGTGGAACGTCTGGTAGATTAGAAAGTTGTGCCTTCAGGATTGCAGGACAGCTTCTTGCCACTAAGCCACCAGAACGCTCTTATAAACTAGACCCTAAATTTATGCAAATCAGTAGTGTTCAGGTTGTTCCCAACTTACTTATTAGGGTTACAATTTAAAAAAAATAAAAAGACTACTGACTATTGTTTGGGGAGTTTTTCTGCTTTGCTTTTGGTATATTTTAGCATTAGTCGTATGTACTACATACAATGTTAAAATATATCTGTTAAGTTGATATGCAATGTTTTCAACTCCCAAAGACAAATAAAGATCATAATTATAAAGACACTGATAATAGATGAGATGACAATTAAAACTAACAGAAAATTAAGTATATAACTTAGGTCTCAATGAAATTACAATGTAGTCATTGGAATGGAACATCAGTTGAAGTCAGAAACTGTACTCAGCAAGGGCTCCATTTCTAGCCTCTATGGCAGTTACATGCAACCATGTGATCAAGTTATAACCATTACAGATTCATGAAAACCCACACCGCTTCCTGAAAGGATGTTTTAAGGGAGGGAGTGTGCCTTCTGTCTCCCTGCCCTCCATTCTGTTTCATGGGTGCTTCATGGAGCACAGATGTGGTGACTGGGACTCTAGTAGCCATCATGGAATCTAGGAGCAAAGACCAGGCCTTAGAGAAGCCTGGGCCATGACAGAAAGAGAGCCAGTCCTAGACTCTGCAGTGCACAGGCACCCTAGCAATCCTAGTGTGAGGACAGATAAAACAGCCTTATTTAATGACTAGTATTGTGGTGCTTTCCTATAAAGAAAGGCAAACCTAATTCTAACTAACAAGCCTAGAATCACACAGTGGCAAATTCAGGAACAGATTCTACCTGTTTTGCCACAGAACCTACAGCAATCTGTATACATGAGACCTTTGTACAATTCTAAACAGTAAAACCAAACCCCATGCGTTTTTAGGGAATAATGTTAATATAATTCTTATCTTTCTATTATATATTACTTAACCACACTGTAACAACTGTCTTTTTTAGAAAACATTAAAGTCCTTAAGAATCTGATTTCAGAGGACAGGAAAACAGTCCTATTTGGCTATCAGTAACTTATGAAACAAAAATGATTTTTGACATTTGTGTATCATGTTTTCTGTCCTTTGTTGGTTGATGCCACCCAGCTGACTACAATTCATAGCAATCCTATGAACAACAGATCTGAACTCTGCCCAATCTTGAGTTTTTCGGATCATTCCACCACTCTCAAGTCTGTTAGAGGGAGAAATAGATTCCTTTATTCTGATTCAAGTTGTAAGGGCTGGATGGAAAGGAAAGCACCTGGCCCTCTTTTGTGTCCAGCCTTCCCACCCCACACTCTTGTGCGCACACTCCTGCTGCTGGCCTCTGACAGTCTACTTCATGCCAGTTTCTATTCTAGATGCTGGGCACCCAGAGAATCACACAGACGCTCACCTTCGGCCATCAGCTGGAGAACCTTGTCCCATCATCTTCTAAGTGCCTTCGAGCCACTGCAAGATTTTCAGACTCTTCTTGGCTCCAAACCAAGAATGTTGGCAGGGATTTTCCTGGGCCACAGTCCCATCAGCCCACTGCCAGTCTGGCACTGTCAGGGAGCGGTGACTGCTGTCAGCAGGAGGAACGCAACGTCATTCCCATCAAGGTGGACTCATAGTTGACCCTCCAACAGGGTTTCAGATGCTAGGAATAACATCTGAAGATATTGGTCCTTTTCCCCAAAGGGCAAACGTGGATTAGAATCCCTTTTCTTTGGGTTGGCAGTGCAGTTCTCTACTGACTATGTCACCAGGGCTCCCTATTCATCAAGGAGGCCCTAAAGGAGTCAGTGTGGACTTGGGCAGTGGCACAGCCTCGGCAGCAGCATCCCTTATGATACATTCACTTCATCCTAACGTTTAAGAAGGCTGGAAAGTATAGCCCACTTAGATATGTATTCACCAAAACAATTAAAATAGAAGTCATTTAGCCATAAAGGACACATGGGCTTTGTTACCATGAAGATTCAAGGTTGTGAAATGGCAAAGACCTGGGCACTCTGATCTTGGAATTTGTGGAGAGGGCCATCTCTGCACTCTCTGAGCCTGGCATTAACCCAGGACCCCATTCCTTACTGGGTTGGCAACCCGCAGCCTATTCCAGAGGGCTTCATTGGAGCAATGAGCTCTCTCACCCTTCATTTTTCCAGAGTAGGTTTCCAACTTGGAGCCAGTAGGCTGGAATTGCCATATTTTGTCTAACCTGCCTTGTTTGAGTGCAGGGAGAATATGTGTGTGTGTGTGTGTGTGTGTGTGTGTGTGTGTGTGTGTGTGTAAGTATATATACTTACTGATATTTTTAAAAAAATTTATTTTATACTGGTTTACATATAAAGTTTGTATACATTGGTTTTCACACCAGATCTTTCCCATTTCCTTTACACCCCCTCCATCCACCCATCAAATTGTGTGATCCTATGATTCTCCCCCCATTCATCCTCACCCCTCTGCTCCCCTCCCTTGGATCCACATACATGTTTTACTAGTTATCTTTTTATTTCTGCAATAATGGTCTTATACAGTGTTTATCTTATGGGACTGAGTTAGTTCACTTAGCATAATTCTCCCCAGTCTGTCCCAAGTTAGGTAGTGATTTACAAAATCACTGCTCCTGTGTAGTATTCCATTCTGTGAATGTGCCATAATTTCTCAATCTATTCAATTGTGGTTGGTTTGTTTCTTTGTTCTTGCGATGGGGAATAACACTGCTATGAACATTGATATATAAGTCTCTGTTTGTGTCTCATTTTCTGTTTGTGTTCTCATTTTCATGGGATATATTCTAAACAGTAGACTAGCTGGGTCATGTGGAATTTCTATGTTCAGATTTTTTGAGGAAGCACCAAACTGCCTTCTAGAGTGGTTGTACAATTTTATAATCCCACCAACAGTGTATAAGAGTTCAACTCACTGATGTTTACAAATTGGAGATTTTACCTAAAACTTGAGATTTTGAACTTACTAGAGAAATAAAAATATCAGACACTATTTGCCCTTACTGCTTTTGTGGCAGCAACCTGCTGGAGCATCTTTTAGGCAGAGCTTGTTCTTTCCAAGGGATTTCTGGTGTCTTTTATCCAAAGTTACACTGCTAATGTAAAGGTCAGGACTCTCGGGCGGTTGGAATCTCCCAGTAGCTCTGAGGGAGAAAAGATGAACAGTCTTTTCTCATTCAACTTACAGCCTTGGAAATCCAGTGGAGGGGCAGCTATGAGTCAGTTTTGACTTGATAGGAAAGAGAAGGAGAGGGAGAGAGAATCTGAAGGA